AAGGTTGTATTTTGGTTCCTATGGACTAGTTTTCATTTTCTCCAGCTTCAATTTGACCTTACACATGAGTAATTGATGATCTGTTTCACAATGGGCACCTAGTCTGGTTTTGACTGCACTTCTCCAGTGATACCTTTTGACAAAGTCAATCTGATTTCTGTGCAATCCATCAGGTGAGGCCCATGTATGAAGTTCCTGTTTTTATTTTTGATGGTTTTGTTTTTTTTTAGACACCTGGACAAGCTCTTCTTTGTTGATGGTACTCTGCTGTAGTTCTCAGGACCCACTGTGGGGCCACAGCTGCCCTAGCTGACTCCTGTAGATGCTGGCCCTGGGCCTCTGGATCCTGTGAGGCCTGGACTGGCTTCCTTCTTGTCTGTGGATCCCTGTGCTTGTGCTCAGGACCACAGAACTGTGCTATCAGAAAGAATTGTTTGACAATGAAAAATTCCCAGAAATACCATATGAACAAGAGCTGGTGGTGATGAAAAATTACATTCAAGCTGCACTGAAGGTCCTGGCAAAATGTAAAACCCAGGAATCGATGGAATACCCATTGACATGCTTCAGTTAACAGTTGCTGCCATGGATGCGCTCACCAGTTTATGCCAGGAAATTTAATGCACAGCTACATGGCTGACTGATTGGAAGAGGTCCCTATTTGTCCTTATTCCTAGAAATGGTGATTCACCAGAATGTGGGAATGATCAAAGAATATCATTAATATCTCATGCAAGCAAAATATTATTGAAAAATCATTTTAAAAATGTCTAGAACAGTACACTGACAGGGAACTACCAGATATTCAAGCTGGTTTTAGAAGAAGATACAGATCAGGGTTATCATTGCTGAGGTCAGATAGACCCTGGTGAAAGCAGAGCCTATTAGAAGAATGCCTATTTGGTATCTTATTGACTATGCAAAGGTATTTGACTGTGTGGATCATAACAAATAATAACTACATTCATAATAAATATAAGAAGAATGGGAATCTCAGAACACTTAATTGTGCTCATCTGGAATCTATTCCTATACCAAGAAGCTGTTGTTCAAATGGAGCAAGGGAACACTTTGTGGTTTAAAATCAGGAAGTGTGCATCAGGGTTGTATCCTTTTCCCATACTTATTTAATCTGTATGCTGAGCAAATAACTCATGAATCTGGACTCTGTGAAGAAGATTGTGGTGTCAGGATTTGAGGAAGGCTCATCAACAACTTGCATTATACAGATGACACAACTTTGCTTGCTGAAAGTGAGAAGGATATGCAATGCTTCCCATAGAAATTTGAGGACTACAGACTTCAGTATGGATTACATTTTAACATCAAGAAAACAAAGTTCCTCACAACAGGACCAACAATAAACATTATGATAGCTTGAGTAAGGATTGAAGCTGTCAATAATTTAATCTTCCTTGGGTCACCAATCAACACCATTCATACAAATAGTCAGGAAAACAGGAGATGTATTGCATCGAGCAAGTCCAAGTCCATTGGCAGGTCTCACAGGGACCTCTGCAAAATGCTGAAGAGCAATGATGCCTGAAGTCTGAAGACTAAGGTGTTCCTGATTTAGGCCATGGTATTCTCAATCCCTACTATGTTTTAGAGAGATAGACAATGAATAAAAATGACAGAGGAACAATTGTTGTCTTTGAGTTGTGGTGCTGGGGAAGACTACTGAATATCCCATGGACTGTCTAAAAAGCAAACACATGTCTTGTAGTATATGTATCCAGAGTGCTCCTTGGGGACAAAGATGGTGAAGCTTCATTTTTCATATTTTGGACAGGCTATTCCTTGGAAAGAGACATCATGCTTGGAAAGGTAGATGGTCAATGAAGGAAAGGAAAAACCTTACTGAGATGAGTGAACACAGTGATGAATTAACAGCAAAAGTCTCTAATGTGTCAGAGATGACAGGATGGCACAGAATAGGGCCATCCTGGTTGGCTGTTTATAGGCTTGCTGTGAGTAGGATGTAACTCAAGGGCACCTAACAATAATATCACCACCTACAACTGAAAAATGTCACGTGCCTATATCTGTCCCCCAAACTGCTGAAGGAGCAGAGTGAGCCTTCATCACAACTCTTTGAAAAGGGCTTGTACATTTTGGGAATCTGAGCATCACAGCAAGAAACTACTCACCTTGGGAGATGGGTACAGATGACACAATTCTTGGCCAGTGTTCTGTTTACAATACTTCAGAGTGTGGCACACCACATCAACATTCATATCTGCGCTAAGCCTGGAGGGAAATGGGGCAAAACAAAGGCTATTAAGATCTCTCAGGCGTTTGAAAAGATGTTGTTCCAAAGAAGGGTAAATCCCCAGAATAGATTCTAATACCCTTGCCTCATTTCTACACGGCCTTTAAGTCTACCCCTGTGTAGCTGCCAGATAGTAATGATTTCCTGCCACACTGCCTCTCTCACATTTAGATCAAGGTCCTCATAGGTGGGGAGGGGGACCGGGAGCTCTGGGCTGTGATTTAATATCTCATACCAGCACTGCAGTTCTTTACAGGAGACACCACAGATAAAACAGAGAATGAAAAAACTGCCAGGGATATAATTTAATGCAAACAATATTCTGAAGTGTACTGGACATTACAGCAAGAAATCATCTATATGATAGTCTTAAATGTATCCAATTACTTTCTTAGCCATAATCTAAATCATCTTCTTTCCTTTTAAAGCAACTATTTTTATTATTTTTTTTTAAATAAAATATTGTTGACTTGTTTCCTTCCTTGGGGATGGTGGTGTTGCTGTTGTTAAGGACCTCAAGTCAGAGCTGACACATAACTGACACTCCAGCAGGTTTTTAAAGGTAGTTTAATCGCAAGGGCAGAGATTATACATTTTTCTCCTGTGGAGCAGATGATGGATGGTGTAGGGACAGTGGTTTTAAAATGTTTGAGTCTCTGTCTAGGTTAAATATGAAGGTTAAACCAAAACCTTCATATTTCTTTCTGATACTCAAGCTCTTTATTTTTTTAAAAAAATAAATGAGTGGTTAGCACAGGAATCCAGAATTAAGGTTGCATAGAGAAGTGTACTCAGGGTGGGGGGTGGGGGGAAGGGACGTGGGAATTGTATACAAATGAAGGAATTTTTTTCTTTTTTCTCTCTTCGGAGGGGGAAGCGAGCTGGTGGGGAGGGGTGGGAAGGGAGAAAATTGCGGCAATGAATGAATGGAAAGCCAAAACCTCTGTAAAAAAAAATAAAATAAAAAAATTATATAAAAAAATAAATGAGTGGAATGTGCTGCTTTAAAAAAAAAGAGTAAAGAAAAAATTGTTTTTTCTGTTTATTTCCCAATTAATGATTCAAAGCCAACGAAAAAAAAAACACCAGAAATTCAGCTTGCCAAGTTTTTTTCCTAATTCCCATCATCACTGAATTGTCTCACCTTACTTACTGGAGTGTGTTTGAGAGGGCCTTGTTTATTGGACTCTGTTAGATTGTTAGGCTGCTGTCTAATGGTCAAATTGGACCAATAGTCAAGAAGGATATTTGGAATTGGTATGAAAAGATTCCACTTCCACCTGCTAAGTTCAGAATTCGAGGAATTATTAAGGTTGAGTGACTTTATAGTGATAATAAAGGTAGTCATTTCCTGCCATGAACACTTGAAAAGCTGGTCTATTCTGGGGGTGAGGGTTGCATCCAGAGCGTATGTAACAAGTAAGGTATGTGCCTGGGGCACGTGTCTGCTGTAGTGCTAGTAGTTTCTCTCTTTTGAGTCCCATACCTTTCTCAGACCTGTATACTTTCCTGCCTTTGAGTCCCAGGATATGATTTGTTGACTTGAGCTATAATTGAGTTGACTTGTGCTCATGAGAGCCCACATACCACCAAACGAAATACTTTCAGTCTCTCACCACCTTCACAAATATAAATATGTTGAGGCTGTTGCTACAGTGAACTCAGTATTCCAACCCAGGTGGCTCACCTTTTACCATTATATTAGATAATATTTTGTTGTCAAACCCTCCCTTCTCAGCCACCATGTATGTAAGGAATGTGTAGGTAGCAGGAACAGATTACAGACAAATCACATGTGCTTGAGATCTGTAGGCAGTGAATGTATTGGTTATTTCTGTAAGGAAAGTGTCTTTTATCTGCTTGGTTAAAATACGTGTCTGTCAGATATACTTCTAACAGTGAATATACATCTTGTGTTTCATGCATCAAGTCCACGGGAATCAAAATTTGACCTTGAGTCTGTCCCACTCAAATTTCAAAACCATCTGAGGAACAGGTTTAAGGCCTTGAGCACCAATGAGCATAGACCAAATGAGCTCTGGAAGGATATCAAGAAAATCATCCATGAAGAATGCAAAAGATCATTACAAAGGCTGAAGAAGAAGAAAAGACCACGATAGATGTCACATGAGACTCTGAGTATTACACTAGAGTGCCGAGAAGCCAAAGCTAAAGGAGGAAACTAAAAAATCAAAGATCTGAACAGAAAATTTTAAAAGTCAATTCAAGATGACAGAGCAAGATACTATAATGAAATGTGCAGAGACCTGGAGTCAGTAAATCAAAAAGGCCGAACTCGCTCAGTGTTTCTTAAGCTGAAGGAGCTGAAAAACAAATTCAAGCTCTGGGTGGCAACACTTAAGGATAGTTTGAGTAGAATGCTAAATGATCCAGGAAGTATCAAAAGAAAATGGAAGGAGTACAGGGTCATTTTATCAGAAGGAATTGACTGACACAGAAGAATTACGTGAAATAACATATAAGCAAGAGCCTATGGTGATGAAGGAGGAAGTTCAAGTTGCTCTGAAGGAATTGGCAAAAAACAAGGCTCCAGGAGTTGACAGCATACCAATTGATTTATTTCAACAAACAGATGCTGCTCTGGATGTGCTTACTAAGTTGTGCCAAGAAATCTGGAGTACAGCCAGCTGGCCAGCTGAGTGGAAAAGATGGATATTTGTTCCCATTCCAAAGAAAGGTGACCCAACAGAGTGCGGAAATTATCGAACAATATCATTAATATTACACACAAGCAAGATTCTGCTGAAATTATCCAAAAATATTTGGAACAATATGCCAACGGAGAACTGCCAGATGTGCAGGCTGGATTTAGAAGAGGTCATAGTACTAGTGATATTATAGCTAATGTTAGATGGATCTTGGTAGAAAGCAGAAGAATGTCTATCTGTGCTTCTTTGTCTATGCAAAGGCTTTTGACTGTGTGGATCACAACAAGCTAGCTACTCTGAAAAGAATGGGAATCCCAGAACATTTGATTGTGCTAATGAGAAACCTATACTTGGACCAAGAGGTAGTCATCAGAACAGGGCAAGGAAACACTACAGGGTTCAAAAATCAAGAAGGGGGTCCATCAGGGATGTATTTTGTCTCCATACCTTTTCAATTTATATGCAGAACAGATCATCCGAGAGGCTGGGATGTACGAGGAGGAATGTGGCATCAGGACCGGTGGAAGAGTCATCAACAACCCGTGTTATGCAGATGACACAACCCTGCTTGCTGAAACTGAGGAGGACCTGAAGTGCTTGCTGCAGAAGGTCAAGGACTGCAGCCTTCAATATGGATTGAACATCAACACCAAGAAGACAAAGATTATTACCACTGGGCCAAATGGCCCTATCAGTATGGATGGTGAAGAGATTGAGATAGTTAACAGGTTTAGTTTACTTGGTTCCACAGTCAACACCCTTGGTAACAACAGCCAGGAAATCAAGAGATGAATTGCATTAGGAAGGTCAGCTGTAAGGGACCTGGAGATTAAGGTGCACCTGATGCAGGCTATAGTCTTTGCAATTACGTGCTATGCATCGGAGAGTTGGACATTGAATACGGATGATAGAAAGAGAATTGATGCCTTTGAGCTGTGGTGCTGGAGAAGAGTGTTGAATATACCATGGACTGCTAGGAGAACAAACAAATTTGTCCTGGAGAGGGTGAAGCCAGAATGCTCCTTGGAGTCAAGGAATCTGAAGCTTCATCTGACATACTTTGGGCATATTGCAAGGAGGGACTGGTCCTTGGAAAGGGACATGATGCTTGGGAAGAGTGGAGGGATGGCGCAGGAGAGGAAGACCCTTGATGAGATGGATTAATTCTGTGAATGGAGTGGTGGGAATGAGTGTGTTTGAGATGGCGCGGTTGGCACCAGATAGAACAGTGTTTAGGGCTCTTGTACATAGGGTCGCTATGATAGAACAGTGTTTAGGGCTCTTGTACATAGGGTTGCTATGAGTCGCAAGCGGCTTGATGGCACATAACAACAAAACAACAACAACATTGTGTTTATACAGTCTTTCATTTACATTGTGCTTCATCCATGAACACTGTGTTTTATACAATCAAGGGGATATGTCAGGTTGTATTCTCTCTCCATACCTATTTAATCTATATGCTGAGCACATCATTCGAGAACTAGACCCTGTGAAGAGGAGTGTGGCATCAGTATTAGAGGGAGGTTCATTAATAACCTGTGTTATGCAGATGACACAACTTTGCTTGCTGAAAGTGAGGAGGACTTGAAGCCCTTGTTGCAAAAGATCAAGGAATGCAGCCTTTGGTCTGGATGCATCTCAATGTCAAGAAAAAAAAATTACTACTGGACTGATAGGTAATATCATGATGAATGGAGAAGAGACTGGAATTGTCAACAACTTCATCTTACTTGGATCCACAAAGAACACCCTTGGTACCAGCAGTCAAGAAATAAGGAGACACATTGGACTGGGAAATTCTGCAGATAGGGACCTTTCCAAATTATTGATGAGTAATGATCTCAGTTTGAGGACTAAGGTGATTCTAATTCAGGCCATAGTCTTTCCAATCACTTGCTATGCATCTGAAAGCTGGACAATGAATATGATATGACAGTGGAAGAATTGATGCCTTTGAGTTGTGGTGTTGGAGCACTGGACATCCCATGGATGGCCAAAAGAACAAACAATTATGTGTTGGAGACGGTGCAGCCCGAGTACTCTTTGGAAGCAAGGATGATGAGTCTTCACCTCACCTACTTTGGGTGTATTGTTAGGAGGGGCTATTCCTTGGAGAAGGACATGAAGTAGGGAAGGATGGGGGTTGGGGAAGAAGAGGAAGCCCCTCAACCAGGTGGATTAACACGTTAACTGACACAATGGGCTTTTGTGTGTCAGGAAGTGTAAAGATGGCACAGGATAGAAGAGGGTTCAGATCTTTTGTTCATAAGAGTCACTATGAGTCATACTCGACTCGACAGCATCTA